ATCTCAAATGTTGGTAAGAATAGTTTCTTTTCATTAGTTTTTTGGATACATTCGACGTATAATTACGTCATGCATTTGTTTGGACAAAGATGCATATGACGATTTGGATACGTCATTGAAACTGGAGACAAGATTTTACTAGTTTATTTCAAATTAGATTTTAAGATTTATTTCAAATTATTACGTAATTTTATTATTATTATTATTCATAATAATAATATTTATTAATATTTATATTCATTTATTATTATTTTATATTTTATTATATAATTAATATTAATTTAATATATTAAATTTAATTATATTAATATTAATTTCATTAATCAACTTTATTAATATAAAGTTACATTAATAAAAAAATAAGAAAGAAACGTTTTAAATTATATTAAATAAATGCAACACTTTGATTAAAATAATAATATAATAAAATAGATTACGTGCATAAAGAAAATAAAAGGAAAATATCGAAACAATTAAATTGTAATACAGCGCCATCTATTGAAAGAATTTTACAGAACCTAGATAACCCCTAAATAAAAATCTTTAAATTAGTAATAAAAAATAATACTAAAAAAAAAAATCGCGATAAAAATTGTGCTATGTGCTAAGTTGGAAAAAGTCACGTGAAATAAAATAAATTTCATTAAGATAAGTTGAGTAGTTTCGGAATTATTAGTGGACAAACATATTGTTACACTGAATTTTTATATATAGAATTTTATTAATTATTTAATTCATATTTAGAGTTAAATATATAGAGAATTATATGGAAATTATATATAAAATTAAATATATAGAATTAAATTATATATTGAATTTTATTAATTATTTTTGTTTCATCGGTTTCACGTTCTTCCGTTTCACGATTTTCAAATCACCCTGATTCTAAAGAAGTTTTCACTTAAAAAAAAAAATCATACAACGCGGTATCGATCAAATAAGTTTTTAACAAATGAGTATACTAATCGATCGGAAGAACTATATTTACTTTATATGGAATGCATTTGAGTAACATTTAATTAAGAATATATTAAAACAATTCTATTTTCTTTCTATGAAAGTGTGTGTATAATACGTAATTCTAACGTAATAATTGGCATGAAATTTTTGGCTAACATTAAAGGTATTTTAACACGTGCATAAACTAACGTAATACATATATTTCTATCATGCTTTGATCACGATTGCATTCGTGACTAAAATTCTTTCATAAATACATATATAGTAGTTAGTATATAAATAAAACATTAAATAAATGAGAATATATTAGGATCTCTGGCAGAGGCGTGGCGTAGCAATTCGCCCTATTTACTCTAATTTTGAATTTAGCCACCAGATAGCGTATTCAAGTGCTAGAGATCCCAATATGTTAATTTATACATTTAATAATAATAATAATATTAATAATTTTGTATTTCATAAACAATTCAAATTATTATTTTTAGATAACAATTATTTATTATTTTATTATACTTTATATATATATATACTAGAGGTGCCCCGCCACGCGTAACTGTAGTTCATAATCAGTCCGATGCACACGTCTTTAAGTCAACGAATTAGGGACCCTATAGGAGGGACGCGCCATACACATTGCTAGGCTGAAAATTTGGGGGGACAGCTTCCGTTGCATCGCGCAGCCATGTTTATCTTTAGTATGTATTAATGGCTGTGGTCAGTTTAAGTTTGGAATACTTATAGTTTTTATTGTGATATTTATATTTAATTGTTTTGTTTTTTTTAGTAGTTTTCTATAAGTATAAGTTTAATTTACTCATTTAATAATTACAAGTATAAATGTAAAAACCTAACCTATAACTTATCGTTTGTTTACAGACTAAAATGTTAGAATCATTCGCGCGCAATCACGTGACTACACGAGTTCCTGTTCCCCAGCAATGTGTATGGCGCGTCCCTCCTATAGGGTTCCTAAACGAATTACCTTATACCGCCATTTGTTAGAATCTTATCGAACTAACAGAGATAATAACTCTTTTTTAATAATGACTCTTTGTTAATAAACAAATAATTCGCAATAAAATAATATTGCGATTATAAATTGAGATATAAACTATCCTATCTTTCAAGTTGGATGAAACTGCACACAGTGTGCAAAATTTTATTAAAATAGGTTCAGTAATTTAGGAGTCCATTGCGGACAAACAACGTGACACGTAATTTATATATATTAAGATTATATTACTTATTATTATATTATAGATTACAATTAATTATTATTTTATTATATTTAGATAACAATAGTTACGTAATTAATGTTTTAATATTATAATTAGTTATTAAATTAAAATAAATATTAAATATTGGAATTTATTATTATTATTTATTATTAAAGGATAATATATAAGATAGGTTTTATCGTTAATTTTATAAAACAATAGGAATTGTATTGGTAATAATAATACGGTGTTTAATTTAAAAAAGATAATCGATAATACTTTGAAGTGTCTATGTGTCACCTTTTTAATCATTGGCACGTAGCCTTTGGATAATCATGTTTCTCATTCGTATGAGGTCGATGAAACCGACACAACAGCATAATCGCGAATGCTATTATTATTTTTCGATCGATTCAACGAATAGGAAATGGAAGAAAGAAAGTAAAAAAGGAAGGATGTTAAGAAAGGAATTCTTATAAGATACACGAGTGAAAATGACGTCACGAATATACATACATATATATATATATATATATATATATATATATATATATATACAAGGTATCTCATTCCAAAGGTTATGGTACACCACTTCAAATACAGGTTATAATACTGTAAAGTTTAAAATATGGGGTACCATTTAAAAAATTAAAAAGATAACCTTAAAAAATTTTATTTAAACTTTTATTTTTATTGGCAATGTATAGTCAATCAAAAAACATGTCAACTTTTGTTTCAAGTATTGTGTGTGTGTGTGTGTTTTGAGATTTATTTTATTAAATTTGTATTAAATATGGAGTATAATACTGTAAAGTCAAAAATATGGGGTACTATTTAAAAAATTAAAAAGATAACCTTAAAAAATATTAGAAAAAAATATTTTGTTTAAACTTTTATTTTTATTATACTGTATAGTCAATCAAAAAATAGATCAACTTTTGCTTAAAGTAGTTTTTTTTTTGTTAAGTTATTGCAAGTACTTGAAAAATCATGAATACAGTTATATGAGACACCCTGTATATGTGTGTGTGTAGCAAAGATATAGTTCGAACTACTTTTTTTTTGTCAATTTTGTTCTTGTTCTAGAAAATTACAAAGATAATCGTGTGGAAAAATTTTCTGTAATATTTATAACAAGCAATGTAATATCTTGATGGAAAGAAATGATGTCATTGAAAATGTAATTACGTTGTGGTTGGTTAGTTTTTTTTCTCTTTTTATTTTTTAAATTATTTCATTTTCTTCCATTTTTTTTATTTTTTTGTCTTATTTTTCAAAGTATTTACCGAAGGCCACGGAGTCACGGGTAAAAATTTATTATAAGACAGTGACCATGAATTCATGGTCAAAATGATTTGACCGGTTGCAATTATATTATAACAGATGTAAGACGATTCATTATGGTTTTTTTTCTTTTTGCAATAACTTTGACACAAATACTTGTCTTCAATCGTATAATTTATTATTTATCGTATGAGATTAACATTAATATATTAATCAGATTTTAATGAAATATATAAGAATTAAATATTAAAAAAACAGATGTGTGCAGATCACACACGGTAGAAGTTAAACCTTCAAAGAAAACCAAACTTCGAGACGTGAATATATCGAAACAATTGAATTGTAATACAGCGCCATCTATTGAAAGAATTTTACAGAACCTAGATAACCCCTAAATAAAAATCTTTAAATTAGTAATAAAAAATAATAATAAAAAAAAAATCACGATAAAAATTGTGCTATGTGCTAAGTTGGAAAAAATCACGTGAAGTAAAATAAATTTCATTAAGATAAGTTGAGTAGTTTCGGAATTATTAGTGGACAAACATATTGTGACACTGAATTTTTATATATAGAATTTTATTAATTATTTAATTAATATATAGAATTAAATATATAAAGAATTATATAGAAATTATATATATAAAATTAAATATATAGAATTAAATTATATATTGAATTTTATTAATTATTTTTGTTTCATCGATTTCACGTTCTTCCGTTTCACGATTTTCAAATCACCCTGATTCTAAAGAAGTTTACACTTCAATATATTATTATTAATATATAATAATAATAATAATAATAATGAAAGAATCCTTAAGACCGACACGAGTATTGATTTATACTTGTACCTTTAAAACTAATCAATATGGCGGTCACGTAAGAAGCAAAAATCGAAGAAGTCACGCGCCAATGGACCAAACGACAATAATAATTCATCCATGCGAATATTAAACGAGTAAAGAGAGAATAAAAAAAAAGGAAACGCGTTAATACCCTCAAATATACTTGAACGAATGTTAAATGATTTCTTAACAAGGACAAGGATTGATTTGATTTAACGATCACGTTAACATCTGTGTATAGTCATGGCAAATCGTTTGATATAATATTGAATAAAATTATGGAAAGTTAAAATTGCGTATTACGTTCTATTAATATAATATATTAGATGATCATAACCTACTTTTCTTATTAAGTGTGAGATAACCTAAATTTTTAAAGTAAATGTAACACAATAATTTGTGTACTTTTTCTAAATATTATAATTGTTAATACCAATTGATTATACTTCAACGTTTTATTGTAAAATTAATTTCAAGTAATTTGTGATGTATATTTAAATGGTTGAGATCAATGTTCTCTATTATCTTTTCTATGTTTCATAGGATAAAGATAAAGAGAGGAAAAGTTACGTAAAGATAATATTTTCTAAAAAAAAGGTAAAAACTTGATAAAAGTATCGACAACACCTCTTTGTATAACCCATTTGAAACTTAGATTCCATAGATAAAAGATAAATTTGCAGAAACTTACCAATCGGGAAACAGTAGGTGTGCTTCGGCAAGGATATCTCGTAAAAGTGTTGTAGCAGGTGGTACGTGAGGTAAAATAACAGGAGCGAATACACCGCATACACCTGCACTACGTCCGTGTCTTGCTTCGTATCTGCTTAAATAAATCGCCAAGTAACCGAGTAAGTGATAATGAGAGGACGGGAGGGTTGACAGGAGTTCCTTCGTCGATTTAATCCAGGATTCGTGATTATTTGAATAATCATCTGTTGTTGAACAAAAAAAAACACAAAACGTTAACATTATTTATCAATTAAATATAAATATATAAAATGTTTATCTGAGTACCAAGTATTATTAGGATTAACGGAGTTGAGTCAAATTGATTGAACGATTTACTTTTCAAATTAGTTAACTATATATATATATATATTAGGGTGGGTCAAAAAAATGACTTTTTTTTTTCAAGTGCCACGGAAAAATTGGTTGGTAGACACCTTAAAACAATTCTCACCAAATATGAGCTCTTAATTTTAACAGGAACATCCTCTGCATCGCAGTTTTTTATTTTTTTTTTAAGTCCAATAGAATAAAATTCATACCTCATTATTTATTGATTGTACAGAAAAATGTTCTAGACGAATTTTGTAGGAAATTTAATGCTCTACAAAAAAGGTATCCTATATTTTTTCCGTAAACCTCACCATTTGAATGATATTGAAGACTTAAGTTTGATTATTTTAAGACAAATTTCATTTTTGTTTATGAATTTTATAACTCGACAATAAATGACTATTAAAAAATGCACAATACAAACTTTTGTAGGAAATTAACTGCTCTATAAAAATGTTGTCTTATGTTTTGGCGATTAAATTAAGCGTTCAAAAGATATTCAGAGACAAAAATCAGTACACATGAAAGTTTGATGATAAGTCATTTTTTTGACCCACCCTAATATATATATATCGTTATGTTAGGTTCAAATGTAATTAACAAATACGAATATAAATGAAAATGTTAAATAACAACGTGATTAATAGATATTAGGGTGAACCAAAAGTTCATGCGTATTAATATTTCTAAAATAAATATTACAAAGAAGAACAATCCCACTTATGCAATTTATAATTAAATAAACTTAAAGGAATTTTTGGTTCACAATTAACAGGAATTAGTTTGAACTAACTGTTATGAAGATTTAACAATCTCGCGACCAACGTGGACGGTACAACGGGTTGCGGCAATTCTTTCAGGTACTGTCGAAGAAGGGTGGCTGCTGTGGATGGGCAAGCTGCAACTTCTAAATCTGCATCCCCTTTTCTTTCGAATGCTGTCCTCAATCTTTCGGCTAGGCGTGGACTACCACCGGATAAACGAAACACCGCAGCACTTTGGAATCCGTGAGTTTCGATGTAGCTGCAGAGCCGATGAACCACGTAAGGTACACCAGTTTCTTGATAAGATTCTATCAAGTCTAACCGTGTACCGAATATTCTTGTTGATGCTCCACCAGCCCCGCCGCCTCCTCCACCATTTCCACCAGCACCTCCTCCTCTGCCACGGCCAAGGAATGATCCTGCGAGGACTCGCTTCACTCTTGCAAGGCGAGACTCGTCCTGAGAGACCGACCAGCTTGGTTAAATTCTCGTCCGATGTAGTTTTGTCTGTGAGCGTACGGTCAACGATCGACGATGGATGCAACGTCACTATTCGCATATGACATTTCAAAGTTCCTACATTCAAAAATCCCATCGGATATCAGTGCGCATCTCGAAATTTGCAATCCATCATCTCAACTTATATTCCCTTTTTTTAGAAGCTTTCAATAGTGAATTTCAATACTCATTTTACACTAATAGAACATCTCCATTATATGAGCAACCAATCCCCCAATTAATCCTAATTGTTTCTTTACTGTTAACGTAACTAATATAATTTTATTTCTAAAAAAGATTATTCTTAATTTATATAACGGAGGTTCTATACTGTAAATCCAATTCCATTACTACAAAAAAAGAATAGTAACTTTTACGCGACCTTGACACACAATTCACGTTCCTATCTTCTCTCTATCTCTCATTTGTTGTTTATTTTCTTTTCTTTCTATAATATAATCACTTCCTTCGTAGAATTCAATAATTAAAATAAAATAGAGAGAGAGAGAGAGAAAGAGAAAAAATAAACAATAAAAATAATAGAAAATAAAATAAAATAAAAAAAAAGGTTTTACCTTATCATGGGACTGTCGGGAACGCGTTGGACTTGCCGATCCATAATGAGATTGATGCTGATTGTTTTGTTGCTGATTATGATGATGATGATTATGATGATGATGATTGTTGTGGTTGTGGTGATGATGGTGATGGTGATGATGTTGTTGTTCTTGCTGAGGACGTCTCATCCCACTTCTACACCGCGACCCACTGCCGCACTAATTCATTAAAAAAGAATATAATTAAGTTTTATAAATCATTACTTTTTATATTAGGTTAACAATTAAGTAATGGCGGATTTTTCAAGGAAAATGATTGGTCAAATCCGCAATTATTTAGTTGTCAATTCAGTATATATGGACCCATAATTATGAAAGTGGTCTAACCTAAAATCAGTCTTTTGTTTTGAGATACTTAAAGAATTACATTTGAAAATTAAATGAATTCTATATAATATTAAATTATAACAAACACTATGAAACAATTCTACAATTTTTGACAATAGTTTGAAAGTTATATTGAATTTAATTTAAAATAATGTGATGTGAAATAGTTGATAAACTGATTTTGTTTAAATTTGGATTTTACAATTAGAACACTTTCATAATTATGTGCACATATATTTAATAAATGTATAGGATGTTAAAAATATTCTATCAATGAGAGTAAAGATCTTACAATACAATCTCTCGCGATTCTCCACAGCTTGGAATATGCCAAATTCGGTATGATGATGATGATGATGATGATGATGATGGTTGGTGGTCGGAAAGTCGTCTTCTTTTAATTCTGTTAAGTCGTATTATATTCACTAGACGTTCCGTTTTGTCGTTGGATATATTTATTCGATTTTTTAAATAAATTAAATAAATATATATATACATACATATATATATATATATATATATATGTATATATATATTTATTTATTTATTTATAAGATGCAAGAACGATGTTTGAACAATTTGAAAGAGTTAAAGAAGAATTGAGAAGAGAGATTTTCTTTTTATTTAATATTTTTTTAAAAAGAATATAAGAAACAAAATGAAAAATAACAAGATTGTTTTATTTTTTTTTTCTTCCTTTCTTTCTTTCTCTCTTTTTCTTTTTATATATATTTATTTATTTATTTATTTATTTATATTTTTTTTCTTTTTGGTTTGTGGAAGGTTTTCGTTTTTATTTGATTTTTATTAGTATTTTTTTTTGTTTTATTTTTTAGAGAGATATATATATATATATATTATATACATATATATATAGATCTTATTTTTTGTAGTTTTTAAAAAAATTTTCTTTTTTTTTCTTCTTCTTTTCTTTTTCCGTTTCGTTTTCTTTTTTATTATTATTATTATTATTATTATTATTATTATTATTATTATTATATATTATATATATATATATATATATTATTAAGTCGACATTCAACGAGAGTAGAAGAAGCAAGACTTCGTTAACAAGAGTTCGTATGACTCGATTAGCTCTGAGTTCATGTCTCTATCACGGCACATCGCATTTAGAGCCCTTTCTCTTAGGCGAAGGGCACTGCCTATGGTTGCTTCAAGAAATGAGTCGACACCAGCCGTAGCGTAAGCATCGAGGGTCTCGACGCAGAGGGATGAGTTTTAGGTCACCACTCCGCCCCTCGCCCTGACATGGTCCAGGCCCTTTTTTCTTCGACCTTTACTACGCTTCCACCCTACACAAAAAAAATACGACATTTTATTATTCATTCATTCGTTTTTCCTTCCTTTCATTCATTCATTCACCCTTACGATAAATGTTACCAACTATTATTTATTTTTTTTTTCAACCTAACTTTGTTTCTTATTTATTAGTGGTGGGGGAAGGTTAGGTTTAGTATTTTCACACACATATACAATAATTTTTTTTTTTAAATAATACTTAAAATAAAATATAAGGTACATTTTTTTAATTTTTATATTTAGTGTTTCGAGGAACTATGTATTTCTGAGGTTATGTAATTGTGTATTCAATAGTTGCTTGACGAAACGTCCTTTAATTTTGATTAGTTATATTAATTTTGATAAGTTTAATATTTATTAAATCTTTGTAAAATCTTCCATTTTTAAATATTAGTAATATTAAAAGATAATCCAAGTATATCTACACTAAGTCGTACATTTTATAAACTCATTAAACTTTGTTCATTAACGATGCAGGAAGAAAAAGGAGTGGGAGAAGGAGGAAATGATTGTTCAATCCAAGATAAGAATTTTTCGAATTTAAATTCGATATCGTATTAATTGTACAACTCGTTGAATTTTTAAATCAATTCACGTTTTTATGTTTAATTATTTTTATGGTTGTTGTTGTTTTTAAACTATGGTAATTGTGTATCCGCGTTTTTTTTCATTTTATGTTTGTCGATTAGCAACAACAACTACTACTACGTTAGTTTTGTACTACGATTGGTAACTACTACGTTAGTGTTTGAAAGTTTGTTTAAATTTGGAAATCACGGCAACTAATACGAAGATAACAAAGTGATGTGTTTTCTGCGTGTATAACACTCACAAAAATAGATCTTAGCGTTGCATACAATGTTATTTTGGGAAATGTTCGATCGTTAGCCTCTCTTCTACTCTCCTATAAGAGTTTTACGTGCGTCAACTCGTGCTTATTAAAATGAAAAGACAAATCTCATAAGAAAGATATTTTTCTCATGCGTACGTTTCAAAAATAAAAATAAAAATATACAAGTATATTTATTCCAAGTTATTTTGTTTTTTAAATTATCAAATTGATAATAATTATTAACAAATAAGATGTAATGAAAATTAATTCTATTAAATTTTTCTAAAATATAACTTCGTTTGACTTGGAAAAATTTGAAGTCAATTGAAAGATTGATCGATTCAAGGTTACCGTATAAAATTTTAACTACATTAAATTATAAATAAAAAAAAATTATTATAAAAAAAAGAAAGGAAGAAAAATAACAAATAAACAAACAAAAACAATCGCTGCAACTAAAAAAATAAAATATATATATTATATTCGTAAAACAATGAAAACTAATAAAACGTTTTGTATAAAAGTTAAGTTCAAAAAAGGAAAACACAAGCAAATGACTAAAAAGAAAGGAAAGAGGGGTGTAGGAGGGTGGTTAACATTTGGAATCTTACGAACCCTCTCTCTCTCTCTCTCTCTCTCTCTCTCTCTGGAATAGTCGTCGCTGCCACCTAGCAACAAGCGCGCACGTTGCAAAGCTGTTCGAGAAGTTTCTCTGAAAGGGGATGCAGAAACGTATCTGTTCTGATTTAAATTTGTTCAGAACAACAACAACCAACTATGACAAAATTTCTAAAAAAAAAAAAAAAAGAAAAATATTTCATTTTCCACATAAATGTGGTTACAAACAACAACCACCACCATCACCACCACTACTATTACCCCCACTCTCTCACCCTCGTGGTTACGATTGATTAGAACATACAAAAAAAATATGAAACCGTTTGACACGTCAGGTACAAAATAAAATTAATAATAAAAAAGAAAAAAAGAAGCACACACACATTTTATTTGTAAATAAATCATGAATACGTTTTTGTGCGTACTATCTTTGTACTTTGTGTGTACTCGATAATACGCACATTATTTGATGCATTAAATGAAACGTAGGTAGATAGGTAGGTAGATAGGTGTAATGATGATAGAAAACTAAGGAGGAGTTTTAGAAGGAAGGAGTGGGGGGGAAGGGTAGATGCGTAATTTACGTTTACAAATAAATCGTTGATAATAATAATAAATATATTTATATACTTATTAACTGTTTTTTTTTTATTTTATTTTCGTTCGATTAGTAACTACTACGTTAGTTTTGTACTACGATTGGTAAATACTACGTTAGTGTTTTAAAGTTTGTTTAAAATTGGATAATATATATATATATATATATATATTGGAGAACGCTGACCCGATGCAACACAACGACGATCATGAAAGGGATCTATAGGTGTGCATCGAGTGGAAACATAATCGCGCGTATACCGGCAACCAAGAGAGAATGGACGATCGATAATTTCCCGCGTAGAAGGGAATAACGATGAACAAGGAATAAACAGTTTTTTAGACGTAGAATGTACAGAAATATATGAAATTGATATTTACAGTGATGATGGTATTTAATACAAAATATAATGGACATATTTGTTTTAAAATTAATCTGTGCAAACACGAAAGATATAATTGCAAAAAAAAAGAGTACAAATAATAAATCAAATAAAATTTTTTTCAAACGAGTACAGCCAATGGAACAAAACCAATACCATTTTAACAATTGATTGTGACGAATAGCATTTAAAAAAAATAATAATAATAATTAGATAAAGAAGTATTTTCCTTAAGAACTTTTGTTACTTTAACCGTACATTTTTTATTTAATTTTATTTTTTTTTAATTCGAGATATCATCTGTGTGGTTATCATGTACACGTCAAGTTGAAAAGCACGATCGATATACGTGTAGGAAAAGAGAAGAAAAGTAGATGTGAAAACGTAGATGGATGAAGAACGAAGATTGTGAATGTTGAAGATTTAAAGAAAAAACAAAAAAAATACAAAAAGAAAATAAAAAAGAATATTATTATTAGGATGCAAAAATCATATATATATGAAATTGTACCTTAACAAAGCGACGAATTAATCATGACGAGTTATAGACAAGAACGTTGGATAAATAATAATCAAACGTATCGTACAGAACCACCACGGAAGTGACACTGTCGGATTTCTCCACTACGAACCACCGTCGTTTTCCCCTCCATTCTTCTTGCAACCCCTTCTCCCATTTTAAAGCTCCCACTACCACTATGAGGATTTCTACTGGACACCCAGCAGCAGCAGCATGTTCTGCTGACCGAAGTCAGCGCCTCCTTACCATGTACCAACCCCCTCTTCGTATTTGGGGGAAACCTAAGGGACAAGGGGGTAACAGAGGATGCATATGTGTTTAATATATGTGAACGAATAGAGAGAGAGAGGAGAGAAGGGATGAAAGTGATAATCGACGAGGGTGCGCATGCACTCTCTTCTACGAAGGAATCAATAGAAGGCTATGGTGGTCACGTGAAAAACCCTCTACGAATAAGGCGTAGAAACTGTTTCAGAGACAAACAGGAATCCCCCAGTATTCTAATGCAGCAGGTGAAAACGCACTAATCAAAATAGCTAGGTGTTTTTAATGAGATGGTTTTTTTTTTTTTTTAATATTCCGGTGATATAAAGTGCGATGTAAATTCGCCAAAATAATTTTAAGGGTAGAACGTTGAAAATAAACTTTACGACATAATGGTCTCCACTATTTGCGTCGCAGTTAAATCCTTTAATACGATTCAGAATATATATTATATATAAACTCTGTACGTCAATATATAT